ACTTCAGCGGGTTGAAAATTTAATCAAGGAGATTAAGGGAATTATTAAACATAAAAGCGCAGGAAGTAGACGGCATCTAAGCAACAAAAGAAGAGAAACAAGAGCATCAAAAGATTATCTATAATCACTCTAAAATATATTATAACGAAATAGAACCACCAAAACAAAAAACGAATAACGAAAAAAAAGAAAATAAAATTATTTAAAAAGGCAGTATACTTTTTTTTTCTTCAAGCTATTAAGCCACGAATTTATAACGAACACTAGCAAAACGCTATTTTCAAAACCCGGTTATATAATTGCCAAGCACAAATATACACCGTAAAAAAAAACTTGTCGTTTTCTTAGCACATCAGGCGTAGTTAGTGAGCTTAACATTCATTACGGCGCTACGATCAAATACGCAACGAAATTCGTACAAATCCTTTAACGAAATTAATTCTACAGGCAAACCAGTTGCCATAAATAACATTAAATTTTTTGGTGCCGCCAGCTGCTGTAAACTTGCTAATACGAGTATTATGGCTGAGCGCTGTTAAACGATTTTACAACGAAAAAAAAAATATATATTTCAAAAAAAAAACAAAGAACTATTTTTGAAAGTTTTATACTTGTTGTTGTTGTTAAACGACTATGTTTCCGCCGATGATTTCGTCAAACGCAATACTTCAATGTGAGACTGCTGAAAAGTTGGAAATCAAGGAGGCTGCCACAGCAACAACAACGTCGCATTATTATAACGACGGCTTTCGACGACAACGACGACTACGAATCAACGAGCAGAGTGGGCTCAAGAAACGTATTTTTAATCAAATTAAACCTCCAGAGCTACGATTGGTGGGTTGACCAAGAAGAAGTTAAAAACAAAATCGAATATATAAATATTAAAAAACAAAGCCACGACAGCTTAAGAACAACAAAAAATCAACGAACAACATCAAACGCATACAACAACGAAACAAACGAATAAGAACGAACAACAACTGTACAAACATACGAATAACGAACAACCAAAAATTAAGGAGGAAAAGGAAAGTAACAGACAGCGAATACGAATACGAATGAAAGTTCCGATTCAAAAGCAACGGTTAACTGCGCTAGCTAGTAAACGGAAGTGTATGAGAACTTTCAAAAAGAGAGAGAGGGAGAGAAAGAAATATAAATAAAAAAAAATAAAAATATATATGAGAACATTTTTGAGGTGCGTTTTTTGGAAACGTAAAGTGCCGAAAAGTACTGTTATGCAAATCGGCCATAAATTGCAAGTGAACAATAAAGAAGTGTGAATAAATACTTGGATATATAAATATATTTATAAGCTGTTAAAAGATAGTTTAGTGATTCTTTGAAGTAGTTTTTACATACATATACGAATTTATCTGTTTTTTGTTGTTTTGTTGAAAGATACTCAAATAGCATTGTTGAAATATTTATATGCACAATATTTATAAACGAATTTTCGAAACGCATGTTAACTTAAATTAATGAATATGGTGTTTTTAAACAGCATAAAAAAAAAACCTTAACGAACTGCGAAATAATTAAAATTAAAGTAAAAAAAAAAAACGATAAAATACTCAGTGTACGTACAAAAACTTAATAAGTAAAAATTATTACTACAATTTAAAAGCTAAGTGTGTTTTGTAAAAAAAAAAAACTTATTTAAATTAACTACACAACAGAAAGTTTGTGACGATTTTGAAAACTGTGAAAAGCAGCGTGCAAATTTAAACCTTTAGTGTTTTTTCATTCTGCATATTTTTTGCCAGAAGTGTAACAAAGACTTCAAGCTAGTCATTAGAAGCTATTATCTACTATTTACATGTATTTATAATACATACATATATATATATATAAAGTAAACTTACGAATTAAGACATTTTACAATTATAAATATATAGAAAAACAGTTACTATTCATTATATTTAAGTGAGTTGAAGACCTGTTAAGTGCACTATTTATCGATTATCTACGCACATAACTAACAAATCCGACCCACAACTACTGGCTGAGGTAAACCAAGTCGGGCAGACAAAGATTTTTAGCAGCTTAAAAAACTTTAAAATACAAATTAGCTATAAATAAATAAACTAATTCGCGCTGTGTATTTGCAACAAAAAAAGTAAATAACAACAGATATAAGAATAATTTTAAAGTTTTTTTTTCAAATACTCAATATTTTTCCTCCTGCAAAACGGCGCAAGTTAAAAGAAAAAAAAATATTTATGAGAAAGTATAATTATCAACCGTACCCGGCGTACCAGCACACCACCAACGCACAACAGCAAAAACCCAGCAACAACAACAGCAATTAGAAAAACAAGAACTTAGCCACTCAACGCATCCATTACATCAGCCGTCGCCACGCCCGTACACTTCCCGCTTCGAGCAACAGCAAGCACGCCAACGACATCAAAACCAACAACAACAACAACAGCCACAGTTGCTGCAGCAACAGCAAGAAATAATTTTACCGCCTCCACCACAACAGCTGCCAACGCCAGAAATGTCGCCACAACAGCAACTACCCACGCACGCTGGCTACCAGCAACCAACACAACAACCACAACAACAAGAAATACAGCAACCAATGCAGCGCCAACAGCAGATTCAGCTGTTGCAGCAGCAACAACAAGCCACCACAGCGGCACTGCAGCAACAGAAACAACTGCAATTACAGCAGCAGCAGCAACAACAACAACAATTGGCTAACGCCACATTTGCAGCCAATTTTAGTGCATTGCAGCAACAACAGCAACAACAACAACAACAGCAACAGCCTAATACAGCTGGCCCTGCAGGGAATACTGTCTTCAATGGCAATTTCTTTGCGACGACGTCATCAGCACAGCAATACACGTACGCAGGTGAATATGCGGCTTATAATCAAAATAATATTAGCAGCAGCAGCAGCAGCAGCAGTGGCATGAATGGCAATAATAATAATGCGTTAAATGCAACAAATAGTAATAATCGACTGCACCAGCACCAAATGCAGCAACAGCAAGCGTTTTTGCCATTTCCCGCAAATAATCCAAATCCAAATAATCGGCATAGTCAATTCGAACGAAATCAGCAACAACTGAGTCAGCAGGAATACATGCAACTTTTGCAACAACAACAGCAACAATTTCATTTGCAACAACAGCAACCACAACAGCGTCAATATATCGGCAATAATAGTAATAATAATAACAATAATAATAATAGTAATCACAGCAATGCGCTTAGTAATCAGCAGCAATTGCATTTGCAACAGCTACAGCGCGCCTTGTTAGAAAGGCAACAGCAAAAATTGCAGCAACAATCACATGAAATACCAATAAGAACAGTGGTTGGCGGCAACAGCAGCAACTCCCTGCCGCCGCACCTATCACCGGCGCTCAACAATGGCGGCGAATATAGCAGCAGCGACGGTGGCGGCAGTGGCAGCGCCGTTGGTGATGGCCTTGTCAGCACAGTTGACACAGTGGCTGCTAGCGATTGTCGATTCTCGATGGATGCTTGCGAAATAGCAAATTTTCTGGCTAATGAGCTTTTTATGCAGCAGGTAGATAGATAGATATTTATGTAGATACGTACATATGTACATAGCTATAGCTATATAGGCAAGCAGGCAGGCGTGCAATGTACATGCATATATATGTATATATATACATACCCTGTCGGAAAATTAACTACTTTAGAAGCATTTTAATAAGCGTTTTTTAGTTAACTACAAGTGATTGAATTTTTTTTTTAAGCAATTTACTTTATTAACATGGCGATGTCGTTGTTGTCCGACTCTGCATGATGATTCCAGCTACTCTCAAGTAATTGTGAACTAACTAGGTATCAAGATTTTTATTTTTAAATCATTGCAAAATCGCTATTTTGTATACTTATTTTTCCGCTGGAGAATAATCGTTATTTTGGATTTGAATGTTGTTTCGATCATTTTAACCATTATGATGGAGACGGCGTTTTTATGACACATTTAATTCATATGCGATTAAAAAATTAAATCAGAAAATAACGGTTATAATGTGATCGAACAAATTTAAAACAAACAAAAAAAAAACAACAAAAAACGATCGACAAAATTATCGAAAAAGTAAAAATTTAAAATAACGATTAATTTTAAGCCGCTGGTTCACCTCCCAGTGATGGCGTTTAAAGTAGTCTGATGACATGTGTTGATCTCCGAAATAACTAGCAGCTATAACTTCTACCAAAAATGATAATTATTGTTGTTTTCCACAAACAAACAAAATCTTTGAGGCTGTCTGCTTAATTCCGAGAGGGTACATACTCGTATCATCATTAAAGAAATTGGCGCGTTACCCAAAACCTATACTTTTACCTACATACATACATACATATATGTATTGTATAAATTTATATGTAATTAAGTATATCTGGAGGCATATGAGTTCTTATTTATGCACATAATTTTATATTTTCTAACAATGTTGCATCTACATATTTATGCATGTGCGTAGTTGTATAATTTATTTAGATATAAATTGTTATTTTATTGCACCATTTATTCTATTTCTAAATCGTCCATGAACAGGTATTTTTCTAAAATTTTTAATTGTTATGTCTCTATGTAGCTATTTAGTACAAGTATATACATATGTAGATTTTTTGTTTTTATTTTTATTTCCACTCATAAAATACCCATGTGCTCTCTTCTGCATTTCGGTCACTCGCTCACTGCTTGGCGTACGTTCAATTTGTCACATGCGGAATGCAATGCTGATGAATCCATTTCAGTATGTGCATATGTATATACATACATACAAACGTACACCTACTCGTGCACATTGCATGTATTTTTTTGTTTTTGTGTTTTATTTATTATATTCGTTCCGCTATGATCTCCTTTGTAAGGTTCAATCTATGTTTTATTTGTACATACATATAATATATGGTCGTTAAACATTCGACTTCGCGCTTTTTGTAGAAAATTAATTAATGTTCATTATTTAGGTCAATGATGCTGATTATATTATGATTGTGCCATTTAAAGTCAATGGAATGTATCCTTTACTAATTGGCAAATACGAAGATTAGCAAAAAGGTTTAATAACGAAGCTATAGACAATTTTCAAAGTCTCTTTCGAAACTCAAAACCATAGCCGATCCACAAGTGCTAAAAAAGCTGACGAAAATATAGAAATGGTGCTGACACCCTTGGCGAATACACAATGTTACTGAAATAAGTCCCGTACCATAAAGCCATAGAGGGTAACGAGGAGGCTAACTAGCTGGCAATGGAAGCAATAGTTAGCCAGCTTGAATCAGAATCCTTCCTTTCTACATTGAGAACACAAGATTTGGTCATTATAACCAAATCATGTAAATATAACCAAATTATGTGTTGAGAGAAATATGTTTAGCTGACGTTTGTCTCGGTGTATTTAATTTACTTAACTAAACTGTTTTCTCGGTGTATGGAAATACTTAATATCAGAGAAGCGTCTGCTTAGAATATCCTTCGGCAAAACTCACGCCGGCTAATGCAGACTAAACAACTTATGGGAAATTACAACTGCAAGAGATATATGTAGAAAGCTAATCACTCTCCCAAAGGCAAGTTTAAATGATGCCACCAGCTTAAAATCTCTTTATCTATGCAGTGCAATGCTAGGAAATATCTTCAAAGATCGAGCTTGGCATCAGGCGCACTAACAACGCCTCATTTTGATAACAAAATTATCGTCTAACTTGCCACTTCGGTTTGACATCAGTGATTCAGAAGTCAAGAACAGGTTGGACAGAGACAACCCCTACTTTAAACTGCCGAACACATTTTTAATGGAATGCCATATTATGTTGTTAGTCTGACTGTCGATTTTCAGAGCAATTTTTTGTGCCCAATTTGATATGAAAAATTTAACTGAAACGTAGTTGAGTGGGAATAGCAATTCATATTAAGTAAATAAAAGTTGTATATGGATTCACTAAATTTTGTTCGTCACAGTACATACATATATGTATGTACATATATGTATACTTACACACATGCATGTCAATTAGTAAAACGTTTGCGCATTGTACTTAATTAACTTTAATTAAATTTAAATTTGCGTACATAGCGAAAAGCATGAAAGGAATAACAATAGCCAGATGAACGCTCAGCGATGCGATCAGCCCTCCTCAACCAATCGCTGCCAAGATCTTTTAAGTGAATAGGCGGCACAAATTTTGCGAGTTCATCTTTAAAAATAACAACCCGCGGCGAATGTAAAAATCAAAAAGATAAAGATTAATAAAAACAATGCCAGACCAAGTGAATTGACAGAATTATAAGTTGAAAAGAGTCTCCGAAAAATGTGGAGAATAAAACATTAATGTAGAGAAATATAAATTAAACACAAGCGAAAATTGGTGCGAATTCTGGGAATATGAAAAATAAATAAATAGACAGAATAAAAAAATCAAAAATAAAGAGTTCGATGCGGAAAATGCTAGAGAGTGGGGAAAGCAGGCGCCGGAAGAAGCGATCAAGCTAGTGACAGGGCGAAAAACAAGCATACCTAAATGTAGATTAGGGTGCATCACTCGCCATACAAAAAAATCCGGTACTGTCTTGCGATCGGAGTTATAACACTCTATTCTAACTATTCTAAGATTTTCGCCAAAATATTTTTTAATTAAATACCGAAATAAATATAAGATTCAAACTCTCAATATTTTGATACAATTTTTAAACATATCCGTGCAGACCTGTTTTTTGGAAAAAATATTTTTAAAAACGTATTTTATTTATGAAAAATTCGATTTTTAGATATGTATATTTTCTAATTTTTTTCCGGAAATCTTAGAATACAAAAAATTTTACAATTCCGGTGAAAAACGCGCATTTTTCTGGGTGAGGCACCCTAGTATACATACGTACATATGTACGTACATTTGTGTGAATATATGTATATATATGTTGGCACGTATGTATGTACATATGTACGTATGTACATCAATACAGGTGTTAAAAGATATTTTTCCAGTTGTAGTTGTTGTTGTTTCACATAAAACTATAGGAACTCATAAACAGCCAATACGTTAAATTGTATGCAACAGTATAGTTCTCTGTGGGAGGCGAAATTGCCGATAATTCTATAAAAATATGTGCGTTTACAATTGTGTTTTTTCCGAAATATTCCAGAGATTTTAGCTTTCCTATAAAACTTTTAAGCCTTTTCATCAACGCTACAAGGAAACGCTGTTGGGTAGTGCCTTGAAATATATATATTTTTTTA